ACAAGAAGGCCCTTGATTTTTGGGTCCAGCAGTGACGCGCTCATTGTTAAGCTAAACCAGATGCACCAGACGAGTGTGCGCCCACATCGGTGGAATTCACGTAGCCACGTTGGACAAAGCGGTGACACCGAACATGTAAGCCTAACTTCATTGGACTGGTCCAAATGGTTTGATGGGCGTGTTTAGAGTTGGCAAAGTGAATTCGAACTGAAATGATTGAATAACCAGCGTGCGAGACTGTGCAACATCAGTTTAATAGGTCTTGCGTCACATTTGACCTCTGACTCTGACGTTGTACCTGAAAGTAGATCAAAAGAGGAAATCTCCACGATGAGATGCATGGTGTTAAAAGGAGACGGTTTGTGTAGTAATATTATTATTAGTTATTATTAATACTATTAATATTATCATTTTGAGCTCTTTTATTGACCAAAGCAGGAGTCATATAGGCAATGAATAAATCAGCTTTAGTATCAGAATTTAAAATGTGTACTTCAAATTTAGAGGCAAATAATGTGCACCCGAGTTTCGTTGGTCAGAATGGATGCAATGATTTATTCAGTTCTCGTCGCAAACAAACGCCGTGCCTAAATCCCGCAATCAACAACACTTGGAAATTGTTCAACATAGTGGTTTCACACTCATTACAACGATTTTAAAGGTTGACAAAAGCCAACCTAGTATACATCATTGATAAGGTAGATAAGGTTGACGAAAAAAGAGGATACCACTCAAACGAGAATGACTGACCTGCTTCAAACTGTCAAAGAACTATTTATAAACACGTCCTTTTATCGTTTTCTCAAGCCTCATTCCAAATCAATCTAAATGGATATTTTCACTTGTACACAGCTCTTACCTAACCAGTTTGAGAGAGAAAACCTGGGGCGGTGTTGCTGGTTTAGTGGTGGATGTATGTGCGATACAGTATAATGAACAATACACCAAAGGAGCCACTCATGTAGGTGGGATGCATTAGTAGTAGCAAGCCAAGTGGTGGCTTACGCGGAACGACGAAGCATAGCATCCATTCCCCGTAAAAACTTCAATAGTTTACAGCTGTTCACTACATTATTTAAAATGAAGGTTGATAATAAAACTCTTGATAGGTGACCTTAAGCTTGGAGACTGTCGCAACTGGATGGTTTGGGGCTTGGACTTTGAGAAAATGAACTTAGGGACGACTAGGTTTTTGGTGTGCGCTTTTCACACTCTTCTTTTCATCCGTAGCGGAGGTGGGGATGATAGAAAGTGAAATGATACTGTTAGATGGCTCTGTCGGATGCGCATTGGACTAACACGACGCATGCAGTTGATTTACCGAAATTTCACTTTACACGATAAATTTCTGATGTGCTGTATAACTATTCCAGGTATCCAATTTTTTCTACCTTCGAGACAGGAGTAACAAAAAGTGGTACTTCTGTACATCATTCCTTTATGTGGGGGCTTCTAAAATTACATTTTGTGAGCAATACTGCTTCCCAAAACAAACAAAAGCGTCACTGTGGAAACACGACCCAAAGACTGGTGATTCGGTACCGAGTTTCCAAGTTGTACCTCTGCTTCCTAAGACTCCGCGTAAAGATATGAGTACAGCTTTCAGAGTGATCTATGGATATGGGATAGTGGGGCAGCCTATAAAAATGCTGGTGTCTTTGGGAAGCGAAAAACCGGGCAAATTCGTGGTTTGTAAACTGTGCCCCATTTTATCGCCACATGCTCCTGGCCTGCAAAAATAAGGAATGTCCTCCTAAGTATGCATATCGCTTTATGCAGACATGGCCTAGCTTAGGAAAACCATCTGTAGTCGATTTGGGGAAGAGTCAGAGAGATCAGGACTGTATACACTCTCACCGGATAAGCGAACTCCACTGGCTCTCCATTCTACGGCAGACAAAACCACTGAGATTCCAACATGGAGTAGGCTGTTGTTGTGCACCGATTTGAGCCACAGAAATTTTCACCAATCCTTGTAAACTAGAAAACCAGTTAAAATAACTTTGAGCAATAGCTCTTATTCGGTAGATTCAAAGATGCTATCCGTCGAACTGTTCAGTAGCTGATGCTGTGTTGGCCAAATGGTTGCCTAATATTGGACGATCGCCCGTGAATTTTACATTCATCGTTCACTTCCATGTGCCGGCTATCCCAGAAATAGCGAATAACCTATCACAGCAGAATGTCATGTGTAGCCTCTCTAACCGCCACTTCAGCAAAGACAAGAATATGATGAACGGATCAAAAAATAATCCGTCGGTTTTGCTATCGCCTGAAGTTGATGAGAGTGCTGCGTCTAAGTCTTCCTATGTGACATTCCGCGGAAATTTTAGGCGGGATACTGAACAGGCATGGCGAAAAGTTGATATTGGTTTGTAAATTATGCTGTAATCCTAGCCCAGAAACATGGTGGCCTGAAGCTCAGAGTTGCTGGGAGCATGGACCGGAATTGATTTGCGAATCCGAAGATCACCTGAAGCTCTTGTGGTTGGCGTGAATGACAAAATGCAGAATGTGCCACATTGCGGCATCTCTGAAAACGCAAATATCATGTGCCGTTTCTTTTCCAATTTCGCTGTAATTTATTTTTTCTAATGAAGGTGAATGAGATACTTGGGAAACAATTTTTTGTGAACCGCTTGTAAATTGATTCAATTTAATTCTCGGCTGCTACGATGATTAGAAATTTTAGGTTGTAATCCCTCAAAAACAAATTAGGCGTGAGTACACTTTTGGCGAGAGAGAAGGCTGCCTGACACGGGTGACCATTGCCAATTAGACAAATTGTAATCTATTCATGGTAGTAGACAGACCTGATGGGGAAGCTGATATCTATCCATGTACACAACCGCGCTACTCCTTGAACTTTATGGAAGGTGGTATTTTCAACGGTAGGCAAGAATTTGTGACAACAGTCCTATTTTGCATATGAACAAAAAGTCCCACACGTCGCTGCGAACTGTATTTCCTGACTTTTGGCGTCGTGAACCGGTGGCGACGACAAGTGATGAAAAGCGAACGGTCCGCTGTCACACATAGTAAGCTTTTGCCAATGATCCGCTGGCGTTGTTACAGCTAGCCGTGGATCACTGGCACATCCTCGCGTTGTATAGAGTACGAAAGGCGACATATTCTTGTGTAAGCAGTTTGGATTTCTGTGCAATTCGGACAGGCAATCGCCACTTTTTAGCGACTGGTGTCGTGTCCATAGCTTTACACGATTGACACTGGATGACATTGGGCACCCGCCGCTGGTTCGTCTACTTTGAAGCTAAGGTGACGCTCATTGTAAAAACAAGACCGGTTTACTCAATATCATCGAATGTCCGAAGGATTCTTGAACGCATCGCTGCTGGTCCGTGCGCAGCCCACACATACAACTCACCTGTGCTTTGGCGGCTGAACGACAACCACGCGGACCGCGCGGAACACCAAACAAAACGAAACCATTTGGTGACAGTCAGTACACACCGACAGCCGACGGGTAACTATAAGACACAAAACTTACTTCCATTAGACTGGCAGTTTAGGGGCACCGAGCAAGGAAATTATCCAAGCAACGTTTCTGCTTTAAACAATATTCTTGCAATATTTAACCGAATTTCCTTGATTGTGCACCCATGTGTTACAGGACGAGTCAGATGGGCTCGATTAAACAATATGTCCTGTTATCTCAAACGTCATCGTGCAAACGACTACTTGCCATTACATTGGGTTAGCGGAACTGCTTCAACGATGAAAAAGCAAAGTACGCACCAAATTCGCATTACCACCACTAAACACGCTCGGTACGCCAATCGAATCAGTCAAAAGAGATTAAGCACGCATGCAGAGTGTCACTGTTTTACCCCAAAAAGGCCGTATGATGTTAATCTATGTGGACGAATATTCGTTACGGCTATGAGTATATCGATGCTGAGCCTAGCAAGAGTGTACCTTCTTGTTTTGTTCTGTCTTCTGTTTGGCCAGTAAACAGCCGCATTGAGCTCATGCAGCTTTACCGGCTTGGTTTTATAGACATGTGTTGGTTTTGGTCTCACTAGTCTCCTTAGTCCAATGCGAATATGGCGCATGTACCCTACTCAGAGGGAGCGATTTTTATTTCATCTCAGTGGTTTGATCTGTATGGTTGAAATCAACCGATGAAACGTGTTTAGCAGTAGCCTGATTGATATTCCTGTTCTTGAAATGATTATAACTGCTCTCGAAATGATCGTTTCTGATCTTGGAGTTATGACTCCATGAGTCCTCTACAGGACTCAGTTTGTTGAGTCTCTGATCCAGCGCCGAAAATCAGTCATTTTCGGGTAGTACGAAAAGTTGGGTGAACGTCAATTTTCGTCCAGCTGTACCAAGTTTCCAGGCTCCACTGGAACTGGTTTGGAACACTGTCAGACAATCAAACACTTCAGTTGTGTTTACGCAACAACCAATAATCAAGTTGCTCAAGTCTAAAGAGGCAACAAATCGTTTCCCATTTAGTCACTGGCCACGTATGCTCGATTCATAGGAGAGTTTTGCTAAAAGGATTTCACCTATCCATCAAATTCTATGTGTGGATCTTTGGCAGATCTTTTGCAGATCGGCGCTTTTCGATGTAATCTGCGTTTGAGCTTGACTAATAAGGCACTAGTTCAATGGTTTATTTCCCAACGACAGATTACTNCTCTTAGTCCAATGCGAATATGGCGCATGTACCCTATTCAGAGAGAGCGGTTTTTATTTCATCTCAATGGTTGAAATCAACCGATGAAACAAGTTTAGCAGTAGCCTGACTGATATTCCTGTTCTTGAAATGATTATAACTGCTCTCGAAATGATCGTTTCTGATCTTGAAGTTATGACTCTTCCTCTCGATGTTAAAATGTTACGGATTGCTTACCGCACGAGTGAAAAATTGCCGTCAAAGTGAAAACTTGGGACGGATTCTGATCACAAGAATCTATGAGCCCCGATGATTTGATGGTGAACACAATTCATTTCATCCATTTCTGATACAGCAGCCGTAAGGTTTGACTGGTATACAGTACACAACCAGAATGGACAAGAAGCATCCAGTCTTACTTGCGCTCAGCTGTTCAGGCATGTTGAACAACTAGGCTGCCTTCTTCAGGACAAAGCCAAAGCAACTGTGGGCCCCATTGTCGCCCTACTATATCCACCAAGTACCGAAATGAACCGTGCCTTTTATGGCGTTGTTCCCATACCCATGGATTTGCCGCGTCTGGATCAGTCGGGGTTCGACAACACCTCATCCACTCCCAGTAGTTCGGGTTTGGTTGCACACCTGTCCGGAACTGTAGGTTCAGGGTCCTCTACAGGACTCAGTTTGTTGAGTCTCTGATCCAGCGCCGAAAATCAGTCATTTTCGGGTAGTACGAAAAGTTGGGTGAACGTCAATTTTCGTCCAGCTGTACCAAGTTTCCAGGCTCCACTGGAACTGGTTTGGAACACTGTCAGACAATCAAACACTTCAGTTGTGTTTACGCAACAACCAATAATCAAGTTGCTCAAGTCTAAAGAGGCAACAAATCGTTTCCCATTTAGTCACTGGCCACGTATGCTCGATTCATAGGAGAGTTTTGCTAAAAGGATTTCACCTATCCATCAAATTCTATGTGTGGATCTTTGGCAGATCTTTTGCAGATCGGCGCTTTTCGATGTAATCTGCGTTTGAGCTTGACTAATAAGGCACTAGTTCAATGGTTTATTTCCCAACGACAGATTACTGCGATTGTTAGGGTCCGCAAACTACACTAGGCAAGTCTGACTAGATACATACAATTCTGCTCGCACAATGGTGCGTTTTAATAGGTACCACATGAGGGAAAACGGGAATGATGAGTAATGAAACTATATAATTTCAGCTTATTTGGGTGCTTTCAGAAACGGAGACTATTTGTAAGAAAATGGCATGCTTTTTCTCATAGAAACTTACCAAGAATATATTCACTTTCAGTGAGAAAGAACCGAATAAATGTATTAGTATAGATGGATAACATGCATGGTATTGGTTGTCGGTTTTAATCTCTCAGGTCGAATACATGCTCCCCACCATTGCGGAATCATTTTGGGGTAGTTCATAGTCTGTAAGAATGTTTTTCTAGTGTGGCGGTAGGCACTGTTAACTACTCATCGCCTGAGATTTTCTGGCCACACCGTCCTAGCACTTTGAACGTTTGACAACGTTGACACCGGAAGAGTCTTTATTTATTGACCCCTAATTAATTGGAAAATTTGCGTGTCCATAGAGTTAAATCTTGTTTCCATCACCCTTAAGGGGAATGCGATTTTGTCTGTTCTCAATGGAGGACAATGTTATCACAGCTTTACACGAATTCTGTGTAGTGGAATTCAATGAGAATGGTAGTGAAACTGCAACGGTGAACTACGGAACGAGGAAGTATATCAATGACTACCCAGTCGGTACCAAATATTTTCCCATTGATTGAAAAGAAAGTACATGGTTTCGTAAAAAAGTGCTCACCACGGGTGAAAATGTATACACTTGTTATAGGTGGGATGTTTACACCGGCACGCTAACATAACTGATAGAAATGAGGTAAAAACTATAGCATGGTTCGTGTCGGTGTGAATTACCCTCCCAACGGCACGTTCCACTAGATCCGCTGCGATCGGGGTGCAGAACAGATCAAGCTAGGAATGATTTTACGCATGCACGAGAGCTAAAAAAATTACCCACTACTGTCTTGTACAATGGCTTTTTATGCCTTAATTGCAGAGGTGACTTGGAGCAATAATCATGTGTTACGGTTTTTTCTGAGGTTGATCACACCACCGACTAGTGTTCAGGTTTCACTTATTGAACTACGCTATTCTTCGTGCTATTTGACATAAAGTTCAAAGTGACTGCGTGTAAAACGAAGAACACAAAAGATCACTTTTGGAAACCTCGAGTTTCGTGAGCCTGAACACGAGGTGCAGAATTTCACTGCATACCACTGAACTGAGAAGTCATTTGGGGTTGAAAACCTGCGACATTTCCCCAAAGCAATGAAATTTTGAAGGAAGAATACGATCGTAAGTGTCTGAGGTGCTTAAAGTGTTTTGTGAACGGATGCCCATAACAGCACCTTTTTATCTAACAGACTTCAGCGGCAAACTTGAAATCTCTGGCAATTTACCAACCCATTTGGATTTATCGATGAAGCCTACACCAGGCTGTAGACTTTCGAGCGGGAGCGTCACTCATGAAGGTTAAACGTTACCCTGCATCGCCTTTTCTCACTGCAAGTACTTTGTGAAACAGATCCGATCTTTCTTTACCGAGTGAGATCATTCACCTTAGACCAAACTTCGTAATTTTTAAAAAAGTGATATGGGCTTATATTCTGCCGATCACGTGTAATCAGCTATGAGAAGCCCTTCTACTCACCGTGGTACCCAACCCCAGACAAACTGCATATTTTGTGCGCCTCACTTAAAGGTGCTATTTTTTACACATTACTTCCTTTTGAAAAGATGCCGTTTGAGCATCGTCTTTTCCTCTGAAGGAGCGAAGCCGAAACACTTCAGCTAATGGCTAAAATTGAGTCGTACTACTGTTCCGAATTAGAAGTGTAGTTGTTTAATGAATAAAATCATTTGTACTCTACTGTAGTAGTGTAGTGTTCCAGAAAAGATATACTCCAATCTCTTCGTAATGGGCTATCGCGAAAAGTAGAGCAGCCACGGTCCTTCCGGTGGTGGAACTTTCCTGATTCCAATTCTCTCCCCCAGTTCGTTGAGTGATGCACGAATATTTTAGTACTCTGCAGAGATCCCTTGGGAAAAACCGTTGGATTTTTTACTACTGAGCCTGTTTCCTAATTTAAGTGGAGAGCAACTTGCGACAAACTTCTGCAGCCTACGGCAGAGGTTACGAATTCCGTTCTGAAGTCAAATTCCCGGCTACTTAATGAGCTGGATGTATTCTGCTTACAGCAGTTATAATTTTTGCCTGCTCACACATCGTTTCTCCAGGGGGATAAGCATTCACTCGCAAGTTTCTCCGAGTACAAACAAAGTTGCAGTCCACCAACGAAAGCACTCCAAATTCCGTCCTGAAAATTGCCTCTATTCAACTCTTTTTCTAACATATTCGTCTACATTAGGTTCAAATGTTTTTAGTTTCACGTTTCCGGTACGATATTTAGAAACCCAAGTTTCACTCACCTCTTAGGAAAATGCTTCTTGAGGTGAGCTTCGTAGGAAGATGACAAGCCTAGAGGTAACCAAAATTACTCCTTGACCCACTCATATTCTGTCTCAGACAGCAATACAGCAGTCAGTAAGAGCGTCACTGGCACCTGAATATATCAGGTTATGTCCTAATCATATAATGAATGCCGCCAGATGGGTAGTGTTGAGAGGGGGGAAATTTCGCCTTGGTTCGATGGGCTTCTCAGTTTTTTCCAGTGTATCAGACTTTTGTGACCAGTCAAACAATTTCTCCTAGATTATCGGCATTCCCACGGGGGATTTACCAGTTCATGAGTTTGGAGTTACTAGAAATAAGGGTTCTAAGTTAAATCTTCCTGACTTCAGTGTGAATTGGTTAAATGTTAAGAATATACTTTTGTTTTCACACGTGTGACCACTATTTAGGTGAGTTACTAAGTTAACCAGGTTCCGAAAAGCGAAAGAGCCACAAAAGTGCCAGTATGAGTCACCATATACTCCCTTAACCGGTAAGTTTTCTGAATGCCAACTGCTGATCAGTCTCTTTCTCCATTTCACTGGTTATCTCAATCATGCCGGTACTCTTGCAAGTTCAGAGCTTGATGACTACTTCTGGCAACACTAGTGATTGGCTGAATCGTCCTTAATTGATCACATGATGGAGAAAGTACCTGGTTTTGTCTAGGGTCAGCTCTGCAGAATACCATCACACATAAAACTTCCCTCTGCGTATATCTACTGCTTCAGAGCAGAAACGTATTTTCACACCCAAGCCACCGGTTGCACATAGAAGTCAAATGCAACTATTGTTATTTTTTAGGCGACGCAATTATTCTGCTATAAGGCCTTATTGTCTAGATTTTATCCACCCCCTTCAAATAGGACTTACTGCATAGGGTGCAGTTACGATTTCCCAACGACTTATCTTTACAGGTGGGTTTGTGTACAGAGCAAATGCTTGCAGGTGTTCCCTGGAAAACACTTTTTGGACTAGAAGGGATCATTTCTATCGGCGATTTTACGAACGAATCACCGCAAAATGGTCCATTGGATTGGCAGTGGAAGGGAATGAGCTGCTTAGCTTTAATTATTCACAGACTGTAGCACGCAACGGCTTTGTCATGCCGATGGGTGAATAGAACTGCAATATTCATGACTGTACCTCCAAAGTTACGTGCGGTGTCAATAGCAACTTCCTGACTTCCTTCAGTTTGGAAAAAATCAGAAAATTGTGGGAATCCTCGGATAGAATATATTGAAGAGATTTCGTTTTGTAAAAGAAAACAATATTCGTTGAAACAGCGAGACCTACTGTACAGCAGTGTGGATCTCACAAAATTCAGAGGGTTTTAAAACCGTAACCTTCTGATTAGGAACTGGGGACTAGCTGGAGACTCGAACGAGTGGCTAGTCAGCAATGCTGTGAATTCGCCCTTGGACGCAGTACAGCAGCATTTAATCTTCACTCACGGAATTCACATCTTACAGTCACGCAGTGACTGGCCTTTCAACTTCCCCGGAGAAAGGTTCACTTGTCGTGTGAATTAGTCTTCCACCCTTGGTTTTAAATTACTTGAAAAACAAAGCCAAACATTATCGATTTTCACTAACTCGATCCCGTGCTTATCAACTAATTTCAATGAGCTGATAAGGCTGTGGACATCTGTTTTGTTGTGGCAAATCGGATAAGCACAGTGACCGAAATTTGACACATTTCGTTCGATTTTAACTGAAAGGACAAAGTAATCTGAACGAAAATTTCACCCCGTATTCGCCAAATACATTTTTGCTTTGAAGAAAGAAAGACTTTGTTAAGTGTTCGACCAGATCGAACAAGAAACCGACCAGGTTGTTCACTCCTAGTGTTTTGTGAAATCCGGCTGCTCTAAATATAAGCAGATAACAAAAAAGATGTAGGAACTGCAGCTTCTAGGGGGCTTCTGGTGGCCTGGTTTATAAACGGAAAACAAAGGACCATTGGACGGAAAATAGGATGTGTCCAGTCAGACATAGACTGATTGCTAGGCCTGGCAGTCAGCAACGTGCACTATAAACAATCCCAACCTCAAATAAGGTTTAGAAGGGCCTCGTGATTTAAAAGAATAAGAGTGTACTTCACTTAGGCATCAAGCGCATCTCGGAGCCA